TATCCAGAACAGAGAAGCCTGAAGGGGTTAAACCCAGGGAGAACTCCTTCAAGAGAGGAGAGCCCTAGGAATAGCCCCGAGTCAGGTTTTTCCTCAGTTTTTATTTTACAGGCAAGAAAGTTACAGAAGAAACACATGTGGTTAATCAGTCATAGTGAAAACATAAACAAACTGACTACATGGCAATTTCCATTAAAGCAGGTGTAACTTAAAATAGTTCAAGGAATTTACCATCAGGAGTCAAAAATCTAAGCTATGTGACATACAAAAAGAAAGAATGAGATAATCACTATGGCAGTGCTTAGTTCCCCAAGAATCCCGAAGAAACAGCTGATGGTAAGATGTGGAATGTCCCCCAACCACTAACTAGGAAAATAACCTTGAAGATTTTAGCTCACATAATTTTCCATCATTTAGGTTTAGCTGCAAAAAGGGCAACTGCCCCCAGAGCAGTCACTTTCACTGTGCTTCAGTTCTCTTATCTACATCAAGGACGTTAGTCCTGTGGAAGTTTTCTGGTCTTTTTTAATCTTAGCATTTCTATGTGTTTTACTAAAATGTTGGGCTATTGCTTAAACTACAGGACTTTGATCCTGCTATTCTAAGGACTTTGGTCCTACTGTGCGACAGCCTATGCTAAGGACTTTGGTCCTTCTCTAACTAAGGACTTTGGTCCACTATGCAATAGGCTATGGTCCTGTGAAATACATGTGTTTTATTTCTATCTCATTAATGTCAGTGTTCTCCACAGTAGATGGAAAGAAATCATTAAGATTAGGTCAATACTAAATGAAATAGAACCCACCCCCCAAATGATACAAATGATCAATGAAGGAAAAAGTTTTTTTGAGAAGGTAATCAAAATAGACACCTTTAGGTAGACTAACTAAAGAAAGAAGAGAGAAGACAAATAATAATCAGAAAAGAAAAAGAAGACATCAAAACCTATACCACAAAAACATAAAGAATCATTGGACACTATTATAAAGAACTATACACCAATAAATTTGAAAACCTGGAGGAAATAGAGAAATTTCTGGACACATACAAACTATGAAGACTGAATCAGGAAGACGTAGAAAACTTGAAGAGTCCAGTAACAAGCAATGAGATTGAAGCAGTAATCAGCAATGTCCCAACAAAGAAAATGCCTGGACCAGTTGGCTTTACTGCTGAATTCTACCAAACATTTAAAGAGGAATTAATACCAATTCTCTTGAAGCTATTCCAAAAAATTGAAACACAGGTCATTCTCCCAAACTCATTCTATGAGGCAAATGTCACCCCAAATCAGATGAAGACCACCAAAAAAGAAAACTGTAGGCCAATATATTAGAGAAATATAGATGGGAAAATCGTCAATAAAGTATTAACAAATAGAATACAGCAATATATCCAAGAAAGCAATATATCCAAGAAAGTATACACCACAACCAAGTAGGGTTCATCCCAGGGATGCAAGATATGTTCAACATACACAAGTCAATAAATGTGATACACTGCATGAACCAAATCAGGGAGAAAAACTGTATGATTTTCTCAGCAGACATTGAAGAAGCATTTGACAAAATTCAGCATCACTTCATGGTAAAGGGTGCCAGCAAACTAGGTGTAGAGGGAAAGTATCTCAATGTGATAAAAGCCATATATGACAAACCTAATATCATTGTCATTCTGAATGGGGAGAAGTTGAAAGGTTTCCCTTAAGAATGGGAACAAGAGATGGATATCTACCCTCAGCTGTTGTTTAGTATATATAATATGGGAAATACTAGCCAGAGCAGTCAGGCAAGAGAAAGAAAGCAAGGGCATCCCAAACAGAAAAAAAGAATGTAAAATTGTTGCTGTTGGCAAATATCATGATCTTATATACAGAGAAGCCTAAAAAGTCTCGAAAAAACTCTTAGGGTCAGTAAACAATTTCTTTATGGTAGCAGGATATGTCAACATACAAAAATCAATAGTGTTTTTGAACTAGCAGGAAAAAATCAGGAAAGCTATATTCCATTTACAGTAGTCACTCCCAAAATAAAATGTCTTGGAATAGCTAATGAAGGATGTGAAAGATCTCTACAGTGGGATCTGCAAATCACTGTTGAAAGAAATTAACGAAGACAAAGAAGGTGGAATGATATTCCATGCTCTTGTATTGGAAGAAATGGATTAGAAACTTAAATATGAGACCAGATACTGTAAAACTCCTAAAAGAAAATATAGGGGAAACACTTCAGGAAGTAGGACTAGGCAAAGACTGTTTGAATATGACCTTCACAGCATAGGCAACAAAAGAAAAAACAAATGGGATTACATCAAATTAAAAAGCTTCTGCACGGCACAAGATCAACAGAGGAAAAGAACAACCTACACAGTGGGAGAAAATATTTGTAAACTATGTATCTGACAAAGGATTAATATCCAGAATATACAGGTAACTCAACTTAAAAGTAGAATAACAAATAGTCTGATTTTTAAAATGGACAAAGGAGCTGAATGTGCATTTCCAAAAGGAAGATATACAAATGGCCAACAGATACAGGAGAAAATGTTCAATGTCAGTCAGCATCCAGAAAGTGTAAATCAAAGCCACATTGAAATGTCATCTCATTGCAGTTAAACTGGCTACTATCAAAAAGACAGAGAGTGACAAATGCTGGTGAGAATGTGGAGAAAGAGGAACCCTTCTATACTGTTGGTGGGACTGTAAATTGGTGTGGCCACTATCAAAAATGTGGAGGTTCCTCAAGCAACTACAGATAGAACTGCCATATGACTCAGCAATCCCACTGCTGGATATATATTCAAAGGAGGGGAAATAATAAGCTAGAAGGGACACCTGTACTCTCATGTTTATTGCAGCCCTATTTACAGTAGACTAGAGTTGGATCCAACCTAAATGTCCATTATTGGATGGCTGGATAAGGAAAATGGGTATATTTATACAATGAAATACCACTCTGCCTTTAAAAAGAATGAAATATTGCCATTCACAGCAACAAGGATAAACTTAGAAAAAATAAATTATTAAGTAAAATAAGTCAGGCACAGAAAGAAAAAGTTTTGCATGTCTTCATTATGTGTGGCAGTTAAGAAAATAAATAACTTAAAAAATGAGATATATAAAAATCACAATATTGCCTTGAACATCAAGAGTAGAAAACAAAACTGAGGTTACTAGAGGGAGGAAATGCTCAGGGGGATGGTAGAAGGGAGGTATTTGTAAAGGGCCACAACGATTGATTACCCTGTATAATGAAGAATATGCTAATTATCCTGATTTGAACATCACATATTTATGTCCAATGCTTTACCCCAAAGATATGTACAATCAATTATGTTGCAATGAAAAAACCTTAATTTAAAAAAAGCTTTTTATTGAACCTTCACTTATTTCTTTAGTTCTCTTTATGTATATCCAGATTGTAACCTATGTCTTTTTGATTCTCTCACTCTTTTTTTTTTCTTCACATTGCTTTCAATACAGGTGTCGCGGCAACAAATTCTCTCAATTTTTGTTTGCCTGAGAAAGTCTTTATTTTTTCTTCTTTTTTATGAGTTGATTTCACAGTGCACAGAACTGTAAGTTGTAGGTTTCTTTAATCAACCATTTGAATATTTCAGTGTACTCTCTCCTTACTTACATGGATTCTCAGGGAATGATGGGTGTAATTCTTATCTTGTTTCTTTTTAGGCAAGATGTTTTTTTCTTCCCCTGGCTTCAGTCAGACTTTTCATTTTCTCAAGTTTGAGAACTACATGTCTAGATGTAGATTTTTGGCATTTATCCGGTTCTGTGTTATCTTAACTCACTTGATCTTTGGTTTGGTGCCTGATATCAATTTGTGGAAGTTCTCAGATTATTGTTTTAAGTCCTTCTATGTTTTTCTCCATCTCTCCTGCTGGATTTCTCATTACTCTATGTTACAACTTTTGACATTGTCCAACACTCTTCAGATATTATGTTCTGTTCTTTTTTGTCTTTTTCTTGTGTGTGTATGCTTTTCAGTTCTTAATTTCTTTGATCTGTCCTTAAGCCCAGAGATTATCTTACCTCAGCTGTGTTTAGTCTACCGAGTTGGTAAGAGTGTGGTGCCAATACTATCAAGGACCTCAGTTTGATCTCTGTACTGGCAAGTTGCCTGTTCTGTGTGTATCTTTGTGTCTGTATAATTATTTAAAGGATCTTCACTCATAAAACTATCAATATGTTGGATTTCCAGACAGACCGAATGCAATGTGTGTGTGTGTGTATTGAATTGTATTGGTAGACTTCTTAATACTTAGCTTTCCTTTGATTGTGTAGTGAATTTAGAAATTTTCTTTTTGTTCTTCACATTCTATTTCTTTTCCTCTATTTTATGTTTAAAGATAAAGTGCTTTTGCAGTCTCTATCCTTGTTATTTTTTTGTTTTGTTTTTTACTCGGACTCTCAGGTTTCCTCACTCATTCTGATGGCTTCAGGTAACATTGAAATTTTGATATTTCCCTGCCTGGACTGAATGTCTTCCCCATACTTGACCCACACTGTGACAGTGTTAAGATGGTGGGAAATCCTATTATGGTAATTGAAAAATGTGGCCTTGATGATGTGATTAGATTGTAGGACCATACCATAATAAATGAGTTAATAATGGTGGGCAGGGATGTTGTTCTGAGTGTTTAAAAGAGGAACACATGAGAAGTTGATCTCCACAGTTGATCTCCACGTGAGGAGTTGATTATAAACTCCTTCAAGAAGCATTTTATTCATACTTTTATAACTAGCAAGAAAAATTGTTCTTAGCTATAAAGTAAGATTTGTAATCATATTTATAGAATTAACGTATTATTACAGTGACATGATATTCCTGCTGTTTTTCTTTTTCCTCCACCAAATGGAGTACAAAAAAGCAGCACCTTATTTAACACATGATATACTCACACTCACAGAAGTGTGAACTCTGAGATTCCTGTTTTATGACCCAGGGCTCTTGGCCTGAGTTGAGATTAATATGCCATTACAGGGGTTGGTGTCATTTGAGGATGTGGCTGTGAACTTCACCTGGGAGGAGTGGCAGGACTTGAATGATGCTCAGAGGACTTTGTACAGGGATGTGATGCTGGAGACCTACAGCAGCTTGGTGTCATTGGGTGAGTGAAGCTCCCCAGTAACATTCAGGAGAAACATTGTGTTAGTATTTTATAAAAATAGGAATGATTTATAGGGTTTTATGCTATTTGGTTAAGATTACATTTCTTGAAAAACGTGTCATTTTTATCTAACAAAATATTTAAATTGGCCTCTTTATTGTATAATTTCTGAAGCTGAGCTCTTGTTATTCTTCCAAGGATCTGACTTTACAGTTTATTAAATCCAGTGTTACTTCCCATTTACAGGGCACTGCATTAGTAAACCTGAGGTGATCCTCAAGTTGGAGAAAGGAGCAGAACCATGGATTATCAAAGAACACCCAAACCGGAGCCTTCCAGGTTAGTAAACACATCCTGGGTAGAGACCAAGAAGAGTAAAACGCAGCAGATCTTTGCTGTGTTCAGCTGTTTCTGGCAATTTTTCCACAGGTGCCTAAGCTGAGGCTGGCTCATCTCCTTGCATCAAACACATGTATTATATAATCTCTTAGAGGGACTCACACATATATATCTCCATATTTTATTTTGTTGTTTTTTTTAAATGTATTTTCCTAAAATATAATCTGTACATTTCTCTTCTTTGACATTTATTTTTGCGATTCACTTTTTCAATATTCTCAGTTGCCCTCATGTAATCTGCTCTCATGGGCATGGTTTTTCAGACTCTATCCTTTTGTTTTGTTACTTACAATATCTAAAACTGGGTAATTTATGAACAAAATCTATCTCTTACTGTTCTGTTGTGGAGGCTGAGCATTACAAGGTCTAGAGGCTGCATGTGGTAAGGGCCTTGTTTCTGGTGGGGATTCTTAGCAGAATCCCAAAATAGTGCTGCAATATCACATAGGAAGTTGATTAGAAAATAAGAAAAGAGGTCCAGGTATGAGCCTTCTCTCCCACCACATCAGAAATTATGAAGCTGAGGCAGACTTAGCATTTGTGCATTGAAAAGGAGAGTTCTGGACTTGAGAGAAGAATGGGAGACTCATGATGTCAAGGCAAAGTGAACAAAGCTTTTCAAGTTGAGGGTCTGAGATTACTGTGTCGAGGAGGACTTTGAAGTTAGTGTTTTCCTCTTCTCTTTGTAGAAATCATTCTAAAACCACAAAGAAAATGAGAAATGTACAGGAGACCGTATTTTTTTTATGAGAGTAGTAGCCATCCATAACTCTAGTGTATAACACTAAAGCTTTCATGAGCAATGAATTATCAACTTGGAGTGTATGTTCCAGAATTTGGGAAGATTATACAGTTTGATTTTTTTTTTCCTTTTTTCTTTTTTTTTGTGACCGGTAAGGGGATCGCAACCCTTGGCTTGGTGTCGCCTGCACCGTGCTCAGCCAGCGAGTGCACCGGCCATCCCTATATAGAATCTGAACCTGCGGCAGGAGCGCCACTGCGTTCCCAGTGCCGCACTCTCCCGAGTGAGCCACGGGGTCAGCCCTATACAGTTTGATTTTATAAGAAGTCAAAAGCACCTGTTTCAAAGATGGTGGGCACAGCCTTGGTTGCAGAACCAAATATTTTAGGCCAGCAGGAAAGGGGTGTCTGGTTGGGTGGACTGATGTTTCCTGTACAGTAATGATTTTGAGAAGAAAAGGAAGTCAGGTTAAATGAGTAATTTGTGGGTGGTTCTGTTTAGGGTGGGAAAAAGATTTCATTATTTGAAAAACTTCAACATGCCTATAGCCATTTCCTGGGGAAGAGTAAAAAGCATAGAAACAGTAATGCAAAATTCTTAACCTAAGTAATTTTCCTCCATATGTGATGAAGAATTGGATCATTCTGCTTCTGAAAGTAGCCAATGCAGGAAAACCTACCCATATACAAAGTAGAGAGAAAAAGAGCATCATGAGATAACCACTATTGTTATAAAAATAAAAGAGTAAAAAGTATAAAGAAATGGAAGGTGATAAGCAATTATTTGAAATATACAATTAGAAGGTAAAAATTATCAAATATTTCCACCATAATTTAAAAAAGAAAAAAGTGAATAGAGAAGCAAAGAACAATGTGACATAATATTAGAAAATATTTCAATGTAAAAAAAATTATGTCAGTATGAAGAATACCCATATATTCCTGAAACCAATGCCCATTATTGATTTTTATAAAATTTTCTATTACTAGAATTGGGAAAATCTTCTCTACCTTTACATGAGCATGCAATAAAATGTGCTTATGTGTGGTTCATGGATATGTCTTTTTTTTTTTTTTTTTTTTTTTTTTTTGTCATTTCAGATGTCCAGATAGTCAATGACCTAATTGAGAGGAGCCAAGAAAGTCATGGTAGATATTTGTGGCAAGGTGTAATCATCAATAGCAACCAATCAACTGAGGAGAGAGTGGAGTTAGGAAAATCATTTAATGTGAGTTCAAAGCATATTTTAAATCTGGTTATAAATAATGGAAAATATTCAGGAGTGGGACATGAGGAGAGTGACAAATGTGAGAATGCACTTCCTCCAGAGACTGATGCCATGCATGCTGGAGAGAAACCTGATGTGCATAATATATTTGAGAAATCACAGAGACATCATGAGCATCTTAGTCAGCATCCCAATATTCCAACTGGGCAACCTTTTGAATATAGTGGAAAAGGAAAATCCTCTAACACAGTGCCAATAATATTTATATATAAGAAGATTCATATGGGTGAGACCACCTGTAAATATAGTGAATATGGGAAAGCCTGTAATAAGTCAGCTGTCATTGCTCAAGAGATAACTCAAGTAGGGAAGAAAACTTTTCAGTGTGATGTTTCCTCGAAAATGTTCTATAAAAAGGCTAAACTTACTCAACATCAGATTATACACACAGGAGAGAAACGTAAATACAGTGAATGCCAGAAATCTTTTATTAAGAAATCATACCTTATCTCATATCAGGGAACACCTACAGGGAAGAAACTTTATCCATGCCATGAGCAGAAGTTTTTCCATCAGAAGTCAGACCTTACTGTGCATCACAAAATTCACACAGGGGAAATGTCCTATGGATTTATTAAGTGTGGCAAAAACTTTCATGAGAATTCATTTCTTAACTGTCATCAGACAATTCACACAAGTGAGAAATCATCTGAGTGTAATGAATGTGGAAAATCTTTCAACCATAATTCTGCCCTTACTGTATATCAGAGAATTCACATGAGTGAGAATCCATATGAATGTAAAAAAAGTCAAATTTTCTACAGTAAGCCAAAACTCAACAAACATGAGAGATTTCACATTGGCGAGAAACCCTTTGACTGTAACACATGTGGAAAAACCTTTCACCAGAATTCAAATTTCAGCAAGCATAAGGGAATTTATACAGAACGTGGAAAAGACTTTAACCAAAAGTCAAACCTGAAGAGACACCAGAGAACTAACACACGTGAGTACCCATATGAATGTAAAGAATGTGGGAAAGCTTTTAACCAAAAGTCAGCCCTCAACAACCATCAGAGAATTCACAAGGGTGAGAAACCATTTGAATGTAAGGAATGTGGAAAAGCCTTTAACCAAAAGTCAGCCTTCACCATGCATCAGAGAATTCACCCAGGTGAGAAGCCCTACAAATATAATGAATGTCAAAAAAGGTTTAACAAGTCATCCTTCAGGATGCATAAGAGTACTCACAGAGAAAAAAAACCTTATCAGTGTAAAGAATGTGGAAATGATTTTAACCAAATGTTGGTTCTCAGTATGCATCAGAGAATTCACACAGGTGTGAAACCATATGAATGTAAAGAATGTGGAAAAGCTTTTAACCAAAAGCCAGCCCTAAATAGGCATCAGAGAATTCACACAGGTGAGAAACCATACGAATGTGAAGAATGTGGAAAAGCTTTTAAACATAAGTCGATTCTCAGCATGCATCAGAGAATACACACAGGTGAGAAACCATATGAATGTAAAGAATGTGGGAAAGCTTTTAACCAAAAGTCAAACCTCCGCATGCATCAGAGAATACACACAGGTGAGAAACCATATGAATGCAAAGAATGTGGGAAAGCTTTTAACCGAAATTCAGACCTCCGCACACATCAGAGAATTCACACAGGTGAGAAACCATATGAATGTAAAGAATGTGGAAAAGCTTTCAACCGAAAGTCATACCTCAGCAGGCGTCAGACAATTCATACAGGTGAGAAACCATATGAATGTAAAGAATGTGGAAAAGCTTTCAACCGAAAGTCATACCTCAGCAGGCATCAGACAATTCATACAGGTGAGAAACCATATGAATGTAAAGAATGTGGAGAATCTTTTAACCGAAAGTCAGACCTCAGCAGCCATCAGACAATTCACACAGGTGCAAAACCATATGCATGTAAAGAATGTGGAAAAACATTTAACCAAAAGTCGATTCTCAGTATGCATCAGAGAATACACACAGGTGAGAAACCATATGAATGTAAAGAATGTGGGAAAGCTGTTAACCAAAAGTCAGACCTCAGCAGGCATCAGAGAATTCATGCAGGTGAGAAACCATATGAATGTGAAGAATGTGGAAAATCTTTTAACCGAAAGTCAGACCTCAGCAGCCATCAGACAGTTCACACAGGTGAGAAACCATATGCATGTAAAGAATGTGGAAAAGCTTTTAACCAAAAATCAAACCTCAACATGCATCAGAGAATACACACAGGTGAGAAACCATATGAATGTCAAGAATGTGGGAAAGCTTTTAACCGAAATTCAGACCTCTGCATGCATCAGAGAATTCACACAGGTGAGAAGCCATATGAATGTAAAGAATGTGGAAAAGCTTTCAACCAAAAGTCACACCTCAGCAGGCATCAGAGAATTCACACAGGTGAGAAACCATATGAATGTAAAGAATGTGGGAAAGCTTTTATCCGAAATTCAGACCTCTGCATGCATCAGAGAATTCACACAGGTGAGAAACCATATGAATGTAAAGAATGTGGGAAAGCTTTTATCCGAAATTCAGACCTCTGCATGCATCAGAGAATTCACACAGGTGAGAAACCATATGAATGTAAAGAATGTGGAAAAGCTTTCAACCGGAAGTCAAACCTTTGTGTGCATCAGAGAATTCACACAGGAGAAAAGCCCCATTAATGTAATGAATGTGGAAAACATTTTTATACAAAGTCGCAGTTTAGAAGACATCAGGATACTCACACAGAGGAGAAAAATTAGTAATGTCATATGACAAGTCTTTTACTGGAACTCCCCCTAACAGACAGGGTAGAATTCACCCAAAGAGAAATCTCAGTGAATGTAATTTGTATGAGAAAAGATTTTGCAAGAGGTCATACCTCAAGACATCAGAGAACTTATATCACGAAGAAGGCATAAATATACGATTGTCCTCAGGTATTGGAGATTGTCTTCAGGATCCACTATTGATATAAAAATTGCTGATGCTCAAGTCCCTTCTATAAATGGTGTAGTATTTGTGTATTACCAATTCACTTCTTGCTGTGTACGTTACATCTTGTGTAGATTACTTATAATACTGGATATTATGTGAATACTATGTAGATAGTTGTTAAACTGTGTTGTTTTTCAGTTGTAGAATTTTCATTTGTTTAATGTTTTATTTATTTTTGGTGATTTTTGATAAGTAGTTGGCTGAATACAGAAGGACCGTAATGAGTGTGAAAACATCTTTTCTCCAAAGGTTCAAGGTTAGCTATTGCTATAGCATTGTTGCTTTTAGTATTTTGCTCATAATACAAAGGATCCCTATATTAGCCACTCACCAAAAAATAAATAAAAATAAAAAAGGAATCACATCATAGCAGGCATTGAAGATTTTCCACAAGGGAGAAATTCTGTATGGATTAGACTGACTGTTTTTTAAATAAAATCACTCTTTTGTATGCATAGCCTGCTATCTGAGCACTTCATGATTGGGTGGATGACCATGTAATTTAACTCTTTTCAGGGGTACATTGATATAAGTGATGAATATTATTTCCAGTTCAGGCACCAAAATAAAAAAAATATTTCCATGCAGTTTCTGATTTCTCCATTTCTCTGGAACTGAATGAAGATGACTCTTGGGTGGAGTTGGGGGTCACAGGTGGAGAAATCCGCCATAATTTAAAATAGAAGGAATTTTAAAAAGATATTCACACCACTATCCTAAAACCTCCACTTATACATTATATAGGAAATGATTTCCTTGTTGAGCCATTGTGTGTGTGCTCTGTTTGCATTACAATACAACCAGCCCACTCCAGCTAAATTACTTTATCAACTTTCTGAAAGAAGTTACCAGTACTTGTATATGGGAAGAGAATTCTGTGTTGTCACCTTTTATAACCAAATCAGTTTATGGTAAAATCAAGTTATGGAGAGAAAGAATATAGTAAATGTGTGATACCTTATTGGGAAATCTTAGTAACAGTGAAAACAAAGTTAAATATCTTTCTAAATCTCTAATGTGTCAAAGCTTTCAAGAAATCTTTCAACACTTTGTGTCAGAATTTGAATAAAGAGAAACCATCAATCTATATAATGAATGTAAATTTTCAAATAAAAATGATAAATGGAATATTAAAAATATTTTTAACATTTTGAGTGTTACCAATATTTAAATATGACTGGTGACACTTCCTGCCAGGGGACATTTGGCTTTGTCTGAAGACATCTTTGGTTGTCATAACTGAAGGTTGAGAGGTGCTACTCAGTTGAGTGGGAAGAAGATACACTTGTAGCTAAACAGCCTACAGTGTGCAAAGAAGGCTCACATGTGCAATATTTATGCATAAAACTGTTCTTTGTTAAAAATTTATGTTAATGGAACCCAGCATAACTGTGGTTGTGTAATCTGTAAGAAATAGTTTGGTTTGACCTACTTCAGGATTTTTGACATTAACTGCCACTCTGACTTCTGTATATTTTGGTAAATAGATTGTCTAAAATACTGCACTGCATAGATTTTTTCTACTCTCCTATTTTAGGTAAACTTGTATGACCAGCATTACAAAACTATCTAAGTAAAGGTAATTATTTCTAATGTTTGAAGCTAATGCAGAGCCAGTCAGTGGGTTGAATAGAAACATTTGTATGGGAATGCACAAGTCAGGCACATAATTGTGAACAACTTGTCTGAACTGATTTAAACAGCTGTAAACAGGAAGCTTTTTTATTCTACTCAGTGAAAAGCAGTGTCTGGAAGGAACACTTATCCTTTATTCCTATTCCTCATATTTTTAAATGGGGCCAAATCACAGGTATGAGTGTGTACTCTATGCCCTGCAGCTTAGAAATCTCTTGTGATTCTATTTGCAGTAATGGAGTGCTATTTTGTATCTTGACACTACCAGGTAAGTCCTGGCTTCACTTATATATTGCTTTGTGCATGGCTCTGCTTGTGTATAGGCCTGCAGACCGAGAGATCGCCCCAGAGCCTATTTTCACATAAGGAGTCTTCTAGATTTTGTGGTGACTCCCTGTCTGCCCTCAGAGCCCTTGGGGTGGGGGTGACCCAGGCCCAAAGGATGGGTATGAGCAAGTTAGACAAAAGGGTGTCCATCATAGAACCTGAGGGGTGTGGTTGGAGGCAGAGATTATGGGGTCCTTTTGATACTGTCCCAAAATTTCTGGTAACAGTGGGCAGAGAGTATAGCAACATCATTCTCATTTTTCACTATTATGATCTTTATTCTTTCTGTTTTGAAAGGTTTAATTATCCACCTTTATCTAGGGTTTTAGTTGGAAGGTTGGGTATTTGGTTTTAGATGTTTCCTTTCTAAAATGTAGACATTTACAGCTATAAATTTTACTCTAAGCCCTTTTTCTTTTTTGTGACTGGTAAGGGGATTGTAACCTTTTGCTTGGTGTCGCCCACACCACGCTCAGCCAGTGAGTGCACCGGCCATCCCTATATAGGATCCAAACCCACGGTGGGAGCACCGCTGCGCTCCCAGTGCCATGGGGCCAGCCCTACTCTAAGTCCTTTTTTTTTTTTCCTTTTTGTCTTTTTTACTGGCCAGTAACAGGATCGCAACCCTCGGTGTCGCACCCATACCGGGGACCAGCAACGGGATCGCAACCCTCAGTGTTGCGCCCGCGCCGCGCTCAGCCAGTGAGCGGGAACCGGTCACCACATGGGATCCGAACCCTCGGCGGGAGTGCCGCCACACTCCCAAGCTGCGCACTCTCCAGTGCACCACCGGGCCGGCCCTCTAAGCCCTTTTTTACTTTTGGTATGTTGTGTTGCTGTTTTCAATCTCAAAATGTTTTGAATTTTAGTGTCATTTTTATGGCTCACTGGCAGTTTGGGAGTTTGTTTAATTTCCACGTAATTATGAACTACTGAAACATTCAGTTAATAGTTTTCTGTTTAAATCTATTGTGGTCAGAGAACATACATCGTATGATTTCAATCCTCAAATTTATTGAAGATATTTTATGGCCTTGCAAATCGTCTTTTTTGGAGTATGTTCCATGGGCTTGAATTGATTGGGTATTCTATTGTTGGGTGTTGTCTCTATATATACATATCTGTAAATTCAAGTGGTTTTATAATGTTGTCTAAGACTTCTATACATTTGTCAGTCTTTTGCCTAGTTGTTCTATTATTGAATGTTGCACTTGGCATCTCTGAATATTTACATAGAACAGTCTATTTCACCCTTAATTTCTTCTCTATTTTTATTTGATGTTGGGCTTGTTTGGTGCATGTTTACGTATAATTGTTATGGGTCCTCATGGCTGACACTTTTGTCATAAACCACCCTCTTTATTCCTGGGAACATTTTTGTTTTATTTCTGTTTTTTATGTTTGATATTAGTATGGCCAGCCAGTGTATCTGTGTTATGGCTCTGTTTACATTGTATATTTTTTCCAGGCCATTAACTTTCAACTTGTTGGTGTCTTTGAATTTAATGTGTTTCTCTTGTGCTCAGTACTATTTCTTCTTCTTCTTTTTTTTTTAAATACTATTGGATGTCTTTTTTAAAGTTTTACGTTGTTTTACTTCACAGATTATATTGGTATATGATTATGAGGTACAATTTGATGTTTCAACACGTATACACTGAAATGATGAAATCAGGCTAATAGACATATTCATTATATGACACACATTTCTTTGCAGTGAGAAGATTTAAAATTCTCTATTCACAGCTTTGAAATATACATTAGTATTAACTATATTCACCATGCTGTGTGATAGATCACCAGAACTTATTTCTCCTGCTGAATTGAAAGTGTACTCTTGGTCATTCTTCTCTGTTTCTATTAGTTTGACTTTTTAATAATCCATGTTGATAGGGGCCGGCCCGGTGGCGCACTGCTACAGTGCGCCACTTGGGAGCGCAGCAGCTCTCCCGCTGAGGGTTCGGATCCCACATACAGACCGGCGGCTCACTGGCTGAGCGATGTGCGGGCACAACACCGAGGGTTGCGATCCCATTGCCGGTCCCGGTCCGGGCGCAACACTGAGGGTTGCGATCCGTTGCCGGTCACGAAAAAAGACAAAAAGGAAAAAAAAAAAGTAAGTGGTAATTCTCTTTCTGTACCTGGCTTATTTTACTACACACAGTTTACTCTAGGTTTATCTATGTTGCCACAATTGACAATTTGTTTCCTTTTTTTGTCTTTTGTCTTTTTTTCCGTGTCCGGCAACGGATCGCAACCCTCAGTGTTGCCCCCATACCGGACTGGGGACCGGCAACGGGACTGCAACCCTCGGTGTTGCTCCCGCGCCTCGCTCAGCCAGTGAGCGGGAACCGGTCTGTATGCGGGATCCGAATTCTCAGGTGGGAGCGCCGCTGCACTTCCCAAGCGGCGCACTATCCAGTGCGCCACCGGGCCGGCCCCCAATTTGTTTCCTTTTTAAACATCTGAGTAGAATTTTATTTTATATGTAAACGTTTATTTTATCCATTTATTCATTGATGAGTACTTCTGTAGTTTTGATATCTTCACTATTGTGAATAATGGTGCAATAAACATGGGAGGGCTGACATCTCTTTCTCATGCAGATGTCAGTGCCTTTGGACAAATGCCCAGAAGTGAGATTGCTGGATCATTTGGTAGTTTTGTTTTTAGCTCTTTGTGACAACTTTATGCTACTTTCCAAATTGGTGTTCTAATTTACATTCCCACCTGGTGTTTTCACATCTTCTCGAACACTTGTTATCTTTTATCTTTTTGATGATACCTGTTCTTATATATCTGATGTGATCTCATTGTAGTTTTAAATTGCATTTCACTGCAGATTAGTGATGTTGACAGTGCTTTCATACATCTTTTGGCCATTTCATGTCTTTTAGAAATGTCTATTCAGATTTTTATTCACTTTTTTGAGAAGGATTATTTATTTTCTTGTTCTTTTTGAGTATTTTGAGTTCCATATATGCTTTAGATTTAGCCCATGTGAGATGTATGGCTTGCGAGTATTTTCTCTGAATCTGTGGGTTATCTCCTCACTTTGACATTTGTTTTATTTTCTGTGCAGAACCTGTTCAGTTTGATAGTATAAATTTCTTCTAAACATGCTATTAGCTAAATTGAAGTTCTTATATGTGATGTCTGTACTTTATTCAGTGTATTTTCTAACTTCCCCTGGATGCAAAATTATTTTGATTTTGTGTCAACATTTCATCTATACC